TGCCCCAAAATTCACAATTTTTCCCCAAAATTTTCCAATTTTCCTACCCAAATTCCCAGTTTTTACACCCAAAATTCCAAATTTTCCACCCAAAATTCACAGTTTTCCCCAAAAAAAACCAAAATTCACAATTTTCCTCCCAAAATTCCCAATTTTCACCCCAAAATTCAGAATTTTTGCCCTAAAATTCTCAAATTTCCCAAATTTCACCCCAAAATTTTCCGATTTCACCCCAAAGAACCCAAAATTCACAATTTTTCCCCAAAATTTCCCAATTTTCCCCCAAATTCAGGACACACTCGCTGAGCTCGCTGGTTTTCTCCATGAACACGGAATCTTCTGGAATCCCCAACCCAATTTTCCCCCAAATTCAGGACACACTCGCTGAGCTCGCTGGTTTTCTCCATGAACACGGAATCTTCTGGAATCCCCAAAAAAAAATCCGGGAATTCGAATCAAAATTCCAAATCTCCACCCAAAAAAACCCAAAATTCACAATTTTTCCCCAAAATTTTCCAATTTTCCTACCTAAATTCCCAATTTTCACCCCAAAATTCCCAATTTCTACCCCAAAATTCACAATTTTTCCCCAAAATTCTCAAAATTCCCAAATTCTACCTCAAAGAACCTAAAATTCACAACTTTCCCCTCAAAATTCCCGATTTTCCACCCAAAATTCGCAAATTTTGACCCAAAATTCCCAAATTTCCCAAATTTCGCCCCAAAATTTTCATATTTCACCCCAAAGAACCCAAAATTCCCAATTTTCACTTCAAAATTCACAATTTCCCCTCAAAAAGACCCCAAATTCCCAAATTTTGTCCCAAAATTCCCAAATTTCACCCCAAATTTTTCAGATTTCATCCCAAAGAACCCAAAATTTACAATTTTTCACCCAAAATTCCCAATTTTTTCCCCAAAATTCACAATTTTCCCACCCAAAATTCACAATTTCTGCCCCAAAATTTCCACATTTCACCCCAAAAAACCCAAAATTCCAAATTTTTGTCCTAAATTTCCCGAATTTCACCCCAAAGAACCCCAAAATCCACAATTTTCCCCTCAAAATTCACAATTTTCACCCCAAAATTCCCAAGTTCCCACCAAAAACCCAAAATTCCCAATTTTTGCCCCAAAAATCCCAAATTTTAACCCCAAATTTTCAGATTTCACCCCAAAAAACCCAAAATTCCCCAATTTCCCCCCAAAATTCACAATTTTCACCCCAAAATTCTCATTTTTTCACCCCAAAATTCCCAATTTTCACCCCAAAACCCCCAAAATTTCCAATTTTTACCCCAAAATTCCCAATTTTTGACCCAAAATTCCCAATTTTCACCCAAAATCTCCAAATTTCACCCTAAAATCCCCCATTTTCCCTCAAAATTCCAAAATTTCCCATTTTTGCCCCAAAAATCCAAAATTTCACCCCAAAAAAACCCAAAATTCCCAATTTTTTCCACCCAAAAATTCCCAAATTTCACCCAAAAATTCCCAAATTTTCCCCGTTTTTTCCCCATTTTTTCTCCATTTTTTCACCCAATTTTTTCCCAGATTTTTCCCCAAAATTCACATTTTTTCATTTTTCCCAAAATCCCCGTTTTTCACCCCAAAATCCCCAACAAACCTTTCACAACACCTAAAAAAATCCCATTTTTCCCCCTTGTTTTACCATTTTTCGGCCGTTTTTTCCCCGTTTTTCACCCAATTTTTTCCAGATTTTTTCCCAAAATTCCAATTTTTATCATTTTTCCCAAAATCCCCGTTTTTCACCCCAAACCCTCACCGGGACACCAGGGGTTGAAGAGCAGCACCAAAAAAATCCCATTTTTCCCCTTTTTTTCCCATTTTTTCCCCATTTTTTCCCCAATTTTCACCCAATTTTTTCCCTGATTTTTCCCAAAATTCCAATTTTTTATTTTTCCCAATTTCCTGGTTTTTCACCCCAAAATCCCCACCAAGACATCGGGGCTTAACACAAAAAAAATCCCATTTTTCATAATTTTTCCCCATTTTTTCCCCATTTTTCACCCAATTTTCACTGGATTTTTTCCCAGATTTTTCCCCAAATCCCCATTTTTATCATTTTTCCCAAAATCCCCGTTTTTCACCCCAAAATATCCCAAAAAACCTTGAACAACACCAAAAAAAATCCCATTTTTTCCCCATATTTTCATCATTTTTTCCCCATTTTTCGTCCAATTTTTTTCCCGTTTTTTCCCAGATTTTTTCCCAAAATTCCAATTTTTATCATTTTTCCCAAAATCCCCATTTTTCACCCCAAACCCTCACCGGGACACCAGGGGTTGAAGAGCAGCAAAAAATCCCATTTTTCCCCTTTTTTTCCCCATTTTTTCCCCAATTTTCACCCAATTTTCACCCAATTTTTTTCCAGATTTTTCCCAAAATTCCAGTTTTTAAATTTTTCCCAAAATCCCCGTTTTTCACCCCAAAATCCCCACCAAGAACATCCCAAAATCCCATTTTTCCCCTTTTTTTTCCCATATTTTCATCATTTTTTCCCCAAAATTTACCCAATTTTCACCCGATTTTTTTCCAGATTTTTCCCCAAAATTCCAGTTTTTTTAATTTTCCCAAAATCCCCGTTTTTCGCCCCAAACCTTCACCGGGACACCAGGGGTTGAAGAGCAGCACCAAAAAAATCCCATTTTTCACATATTTTTATCATTTTTTCCCCATTTTTTCCCCAATTTTCACCCAATTTTTTCCCAATTTTTTCCCAAAATTGCAATTTTTATCATTTTTCCCAAAATCCCCGTTTTTCACCCCAAAATATCCCAAAAACTTTTGAAAAGCACCAAAAAAAATCCGATTTTTTCCCATATTTTCATCATTTTTTCCCCATTTTTCGCCCAAAATTTACCCAATTTTCACCCGATTTTTTTCCAGATTTTTCCCAAAATTCCAGTTTTTAAATTTTTCCCAAAATCCCCGTTTTTCACCCCAAAATCCCCACCAAGAACATCCCAAAATCCCATTTTTCCCCTTTTTTTTCCCATATTTTCATCATTTTTTCCCCAAAATTTACCCAATTTTCACCCGATTTTTTTCCAGATTTTTCCCCAAAATTCACATTTTTTCATTTTTCCCAAAATCCCCGTTTTTCACCCCAAACCCTCACCGGGACACCAGGGGTTGAAGAGCAGCACCAAAAAAAATCCCATTTTTCACATATTTTCATCATTTTTTCCCCATTTTTTCTCCATTTTTCACCCAATTTTTTCCCCGATTTTCCCCAAAATTCACATTTTTTCATTTTCCCCAAAATCCCCGTTTTTCACCCCAAAATATCTCAAAACCCCTTGAACAACACCAAAAAAAATCCCATTTTTCCCCCTTTTTTTACCATTTTTGGCCGTTTTTTCCTCGTTTTTCACCCAATTTTCACCCAATTTTTTCCAGATTTTTTCCCAAAATTCCAATTTTTTAATTTTTCCCAAAATCCCCGTTTTTCACCCCAAAATATCTCAAAAACTTTTGAAAAGCACCAAAAAAAATCCGATTTTTTCCCATATTTTCATCATTTTTTCCCCAAAATTTACCCAATTTTCACCCGATTTTTTTCCAGATTTTTCCCCAAAATTCACATTTTTTCATTTTTCCCAAAATCCCCGTTTTTCGCCCCAAACCCTCACCGGGACACCAGGGGTTGAAGAGCAGCACCAAAAAAATCCAATTTTTCACATATTTTCATCATTTTTTCCCCATTTTTTCTCCATTTTTCACCCAATTTTTTCCCCGATTTTCCCCAAAATTCACATTTTTTCATTTTCCCCAAAATCCCCGTTTTTCACCCCAAAATATCTCAAAACCCCTTGAACAACACCAAAAAAAATCCCATTTTTCCCCCTTTTTTTACCATTTTTGGCCGTTTTTTCCTCGTTTTTCACCCAATTTTCACCCAATTTTTTCCAGATTTTTTCCCAAAATTCCAATTTTTTAATTTTTCCCAAAATCCCCGTTTTTCACCCCAAACCCTCACCGGGACACCAGGGGTTGAAGAGCAGCACCAAAAAAATCCCATTTTTCACATATTTTCATCATTTTTTCCCCTTTTTTTCCCCATTTTTTCCCCAATTTTCGCCCAATTTTTTCCCAGATTTTCCCCAAAATCCCAATTTTTATCATTTTTCCCAAAATCCCCGTTTTTCACCCCAAAACATCCCAACAAACCTTTCACAACACCTAAAAAAATCCCATTTTCCCCCCTTTTTTTACCATTTTTCGGCCGTTTTTTCCCCATTTTTCGTCCAATTTTCACCCGATTTTTTCCCAGATTTTTCCCAAAATTCCAATTTTTATCATTTTTCCCAAAATCCCCGTTTTTCGCCCCAAACCCTCACCGGGACACCAGGGGTTGAAGAGCAGCACCAAAAAAATCCAATTTTTCACATATTTTTATCATTTTTTTCCCAATTTTCACCCAATTTTTTTCCAGATTTTTCCCCAAAATTCACATTTTTTCATTTTTCCCAAAATCTCATTTTTTCACCCCAAAATCCCCAACAAACCTTTCACAACACCTAAAAAAATCCCATTTTCCCCCCTTTTTTTACCATTTTTGGGCCGTTTTTTCCCCGTTTTTCACCCAATTTTCACCCGATTTTTCCCAAAATTCCAATTTTTTAATTTTCCCCAAAATCCCCGTTTTTCACCCCAAAATATCTCAAAAACTTTTGAAAAGCACCAAAAAAAATCCATTTTTTCCCATATTTTCATCATGTTTCCCCATTTTTTTCTCATTTTTTTCCCAATTTTCACCCAATTTTTTTCCAGATTTTTCCCCAAAATTCACATTTTTTCATTTTTCCCAAAATCCCCGTTTTTCACCCCAAAATATCTCAACAAACCCTTGAACAACACCAAAAAAAATCCCATTTTTCCCCATATTTTCATCATGTTTCCCCATTTTTTTCTCATTTTTTTCCCAATTTTCACCCAATTTTTTTCCAGATTTTTCCCCAAAATTCACATTTTTTCATTTTTCCCAAAATCTCATTTTTTCACCCCAAAATCCCCAACAAACCTTTCACAACACCTAAAAAAATCCCATTTTCCCCCCTTTTTTTACCATTTTTGGCCCGTTTTTTCCCCGTTTTTCACCCAATTTTCACCCGA